ATTTGATCACATGTCTTAACCTACAGCAGTTGAAACATGCATATTCCTTTCCTTCTACCTCTAGAGTATTCTTTGGTGACTTGCTGAGCCCAAATCAAATGCAAAAATTCACGTAGAACATGGGAAGTTAAAGAGGCCTTCAGTGATTCCAGGTCATTCCCTCATGAACTGGAGTCCGAAGGGGAGATGACTTGCCTAAGATGACATTTTGCCTTGGGTCTAAAAGGTTTTACTCATGTCACAGTTTAGAGGGCAATGGTTCATTCAAAATAGGACACGTAGTTGCATTTTTACACACTGCGTTTTTAGTCTAGTCTTGAAAAGAACCAATTATCCAGATGGCTCAAAAGCAGAATGGTGAGACCGATGGAAGAAAACTGATTCTCTTCATTGTCGGTTAGAAATTTCAATATCTGGTGAGCAGAAAAAAGCATGGAAGTGATGAACACAGATGTCAGCCAGAAGGCTGCAAGTAAGGGCAGAAGATGGGGAGGTTTAGGGAACCAACTGGATAGCAGTACTCCACGCATGCACGTCTCTTGGTGGCATGGGCATTGCCTGCTCCATAGAGCCACATGGAAAATGAATGGTGCCCACCCAAGTAGGGATACATATGATTCTTTGAAACTGTTGCTAGGAGACTAACTTAGACTCCACAGTGATACTCATCATGTGAGTTATGGAACTTTCTGGCAGAGGCTGAAGTTTTAGTGTGTGAACAAAAGCAGAAAAACTCTGAACCAAGATTCTACTTTTCCACTCAATTTAACCAAGCTTTGGGGCTTTTATGTGTTTTAGCTTATTTGTCTTTATTTTAAGGGTGATAATTCTTACGGATATAGTAAGAAACAAATTCTTCCTTTTATGTCAAGAGGGAAAGTCTTGTTGAGACTCTTGGTTGAAAGGTTCTTTGTAGTTTGAAGTTTTGTTTCATTATAATACTATTTGGTCTTTGGTCGACCAAATTATGATTGTATGGCTATTTCTTTGCTTATTAAAAATAAAGTATTCGGAAACCCTGACCCCATTTCTCTGGAGTCTGTGTCTCCCATAAAAAATTAAATAAAAACAAAGTATTCTGTCTTTATATTCAGCAAGTCACAGGCGTTTTGATTACAAATGAAATGGGATGATTAATTTTCTTCCCTCAAGAATTCTGCGTTCTGAGTCAGTGAGGTTTAATTTTGACAAATGTTTTATTTCAGTTTACAGTTCTACATGATGACCATATTCTCTAGGGTGAAAAGTGTAGAAAAAGGTGGCTGGCCTTGAGAAATACACTATCGCTGTGCTGGTTCCTTCAGGGTTGAAATGGAGTAATAAAGTCAGGAATCGCAGAGCGGTTTCTAATTTCAAAGACAGACTGTCTGACCTTGTCTACACAGTTCAGGTAGAAACCGAGGAGGAACATGGAGAAGGAAATTGAGTTCCCTCCTGGTGACACACAGCTACCACACCACCCAGCAGTGTATCTGGAATTACAGTGCAGGCCATTCACCTGAGGGCACAACAAGCTCTCACCCAGAAGTGTTTTTCTCCTGCATTTCCATTCGTATTCGACAAAGTTCTGATTAAACCTCTACATTCCTCCTAAGCTCTCTCTCTCTCCCTTCTTCCCTTCCTCCCTCTCTGCCTTTCTCTTCCACTCCCGTTCATTCTTGGCTGTCTGTCTTCCTGAACTAGAGCCTCCAGTTTAACTTAAGGAAAAAAAATATTTCTGCTACGCATTTGGTTCGGCTCTTCTCTTGAAGCCTTAAGGAGACTTCCCAGATACCTAGACTCACCAGCATTTTGGATATTTTGCTGCATGTTTCGTACCCCAAAGGAAGGACACGTACGTGGATTAAGGACTCCCAGTGTTTCTCAGCAATCCCTTCCCAGCTGCCTCATTCAGTAGGTGACTTTTCGTTTGCAATGGAGTGATTCTGGTACCCTGGCAAGACCTTCTGCTTGCAAGGAGGTGGCACTGTGGTGGCTTAGGTGACCTGTTCATTCTGCCAGTATCTGCTAGATGGAAATTTTGAGGTATTTTTTGGAAGTTGTGTAATATTAAACATCAGCAATTTATCTGGGAAAATTTGTTTTAGAGGGAAAACGACTGGGAAAAGGAAAGGACTGTGTGTTGTGGCCACAGACAGACATACTTTGTCTCCCAGCATGGTGAGAAATAGGACTGAGCGCATTCCAGGTTGATTTTGTAGTGTTGCTGTGATAGTGAAATCCTTGTCTGAAAATATTTGTGTTTTCCTGATTAAGGGAGGTTTCTAATTCTAGTTCTATAATATTTGCCGTGTCAATTTTGAGAGATTCCACGTGTTTTTTCATCCTTCCTCCCCACCCCCCCTTTCTTCCTTCCTTCCTTCTTTTGACAACTGACTCTTCAAAAAATAGTATTTAGGGGAGGGAAAGTATTCGCCTTCCAGTATCTCTTAATTCAGAAAAACTGCTCAAGCCATTTCCAGCCCAATGAGAAATAAGTCATGAGAATCTTGGTCAGATAAGCAGGACATCTTCACATGGCACTGGTCCTCTGGAGTTCAGATCTAGCTTTCCTCCCAACTGTGTGATGCTGAGCAAAGATTTTAACTAGCCTGAGCCTCAGTTTCCCAATCTGTAAGTTGTGGGTTCTAGCTTGGTGATATGATGAGTATGAAAGAACTGGGACAGCTCCTGTGCCTGGAGGAAGCCCTCTATGGATGGGGGCAGTTAGAGATGTCTTCAGCTGTCGCGTTTTCAGTCGTTAGTGAGTTCCTGGGGTCCGAGGTGCAGGATTTGGAGTCAGGGTCAGCAGAATCAAGTCCCCCCACTGTACGTGCGTTTTTGTCCTTTTGCCCATTGGCACGAAAGGGTCAGGGATGGCCCGAGTCTTCGACCAGAGCTGTGGCTGCAGCCTCACCCCTTCGCCTCCTAACCACGTCCCCTCCCCCGCCCAAAGGTCCTCCTCTGCGTCGGAGGCACCACTCTTTGGGGTGACCTTTGTCTGCTTCCTGAGGCCTGGCTGCTCCCCCCCATCAGCCCTCCTGTTGGAAGGTGGGATGAAATGAGCAAGGGCCACCACCTTCCCAAAGATGGAGCCTTCTGGGGCCATTTTGCCCGCCATTCCTGCCCAGCCTTGCTTACTGCCTTCTCTAGCGAAGATCCTTGATAGGTGGGCAAAGGTCACAAGCATTTTTGTCATGAGATGCCGGCAGATAGGTGTATCCATCTGAATAAGAGAGGCGTTAAATGAAACATGGCGAGGGTTATCATGGCTTCTTGTTAATGACTGGCAAAAGAGCAGGTGGCCTAAGCGGACCTTGAACAATTATTATAATACTGTAAGAAAGGGATACGCAGCCATAAAAAAGAACAAAATCATGAATTTTGCGGCAACCTGGATGGAACTAGAGTCTATAATACTGAGTGACCTCTCACAGAAACAAAGATCCGAGTATCACATGTTCTCACTCATATAATGGGCCTTAAACATCCAATGCAATACTATACGAAAATGACTGACAGTACTGGGAAACTATGGTGGGGGGAGTGAGATGGGATTCTGTCTGGGAACGGGGAAACACCCCATATCAACAGGGTGCCTGAATGAAACGCAATTGTATACCTAACCCTTAACTGTACCCCACAACTTCATAATACAAAATAAATAAATAATTAAAAAAAAAAACTCGAAAGGTCACGTCCAGAGAGCTCTCAAATAGCTGAACAGGTGGCGGTTTCTGGAGGGTGATAAACCCAAAAATGCTGTGGAAGCTCTGCACCCTTCCCCCATGCCTTGCTCTGTGCTTCTCATCATCTGGCCACTTATCTGTATCCTTTGTAATATGCTTCATAATAAATGGGTGAATGTAAAAAAAAGAAAAGAAAAGAAAATGTACTCAAGACATTGTAAATTCACATTTTAATAAAGGCAAAAGTTTAGATGAAAGGAAAAAAAAAAAAAAGAAAGGGATTGGCAGTAGTGGGAAACTGCCAGAGGAGAGGGGTAGGATTGGCAGTTGAAGGAAACTGCCGGGGAGCGCGGGGCACACCTCATCGACAAGGGCACCTGCGAAATGAACATTTGTGTGCCTGACCCTAAATTGTACACCACATCTTGGAAAAAAAGAGCAGGTGGGCCTCTGGCCATCCACTCTCCCTCCCCATTGGACTGCCCCACCTACTCCACTTATGGCCCCAACAGAAGCTAGTGAATTGTCGTTTTGCTCTATGGCCAAGACTCGGAGAGTGGTCAGTGGAACAAGTGCAGAGAAAACGGTTTGCAGCAGGTGTTTCTCTTCAAATCAAATCTCCCTTTTAAACCACAGTGTTGGAGGGTTTTACAAGGAAACGAGTGCACCATGCCCTGCTGTTGCTAAGTAACCAGGAAAAAAACAAACCTAATCATAGTTGAGATGGGCATGATTTTCCCGAGGAAACTAGCTACTCTTGCTAAGTACTCTGTGTAGTATTCACAGATTTGCATAACGGTGAGGTTGGGGGGCTCTCCTTCAGTCTTTATCTTCCTTCTCTCCATCCCTAACCCTCATCAGTAAAAGCCCAGATACATTATTGGAGTCCTGAGGTCAATTCTTGACTTCCAGGTTCAATGAGGGAAGGTGGTTTGCAGATGCAAATACGGGTTATTACATACAGCTGGAGTGTGTACTGTATTTCCGAGGCCTTCATCCATTTTTTGAAAAATAAATGAGCTCCCCTTTCTCGGTGGTAGCAGTGATTTAACGTCCCATCAATGGTGATCGGTTTTTATTCGCTTGACATTTCCCTAGGATTGTTTGGTAAAGGTGATTTTTAGCCACAGGAGATATTTGTGCACACATGGAATACATCTTAGTGATTTTGATGCATTCATTAGACGTCCCTTGTGTTCTTTCTCCCTGGGCTTGGCCATCCTCCTTTTGGCTGATGACATGGGTGGGCCCTGCACTTCCTAATCTCGGAGACACCTGCCTGGTGGGGCCCAAGCTGACTCTCCTGTAACCTGTGATGTCTGTTTTTTGCAGATTTGGACAGCTCTCAGACTGAGTCCCCAACCCTCCAGGACTCGAATTCACACCACCCTCAGCTGCAGACATTCATAACAGAAGCGAAGCTAAATCTGCGTACGGTGACAATGACCAGACGAGATGGGGAAACTGGAGATGGAACCGATGAAAATATTGTTTACCTCTAATTGTGTTGTCATTTTCCCAAACAAAACAAAACACTGGCACTTTCGGGAGAAAACTGTTTTTTTTTTTCCCATTTCTTACCCATATGTGTGTGATTGTGTCCCAATTGATTTAAGAATAATATTTAATATTTCATGCAAGTTCATTTTGGGGGACATGCGTCTAATAATTAAATTATTGAAAGCATCTCTGTTGGTATAATCTTTAACTTGTCACACGCCTGATCTCAGATTTCTGGAGGAGAAACTGACTTGAATAAGCAGAAGTATTTTAAAAGTTGTCTTGACTCTAGAATAAAATTCCAATATTGCGTTTTCTACCAGATCATTGGGCTTTCAATGCCTTTTGAGATCTCCATGAAAAAGTTTGGAGTCAAAGAGTGATTATTCGCAAGAGGTGAGCTTTCAGAGTCATGGCTGCCTGTTGCTTATCAAGAGTGGCCTCAGTGCTCCCAGAAGGCAGAGGAAGACTTGGGAAAGGCCTTCTCTCAGCTGGTGTTGATGTGCTAATTTCTTTTAGGGCATCAAAGGTGCTGATCTGTCACAGTCACCATTCAACCAACGTGTCCTGCTGGGCACCTGTTGGGACTGGACGGCCACTGTGCCAGGGACATAGTCTGGACACACCTGGGACCTGAGCCTGCCGCTGCTGGGTTTTAAGCACAGTCCTGCGTCACCCTTCAACACAGCCCAGAGCCCCACCCCCTAGCAAGTCAGTTCTGATGTAAATATTGAAAGCCCTTGGAGCCCTCCCTCTCTCAGATGGCCTGTCCTCTGGAGCCCCACCGCCACCAACTCCTTGGAAGAAACTCTTTCCCTGCAGCGTTTTAAGGACAAAACTGCACTCTTGGCGACGTTTGCCCCTTGGATGTGCTTTTCCCAAAGGAGAACCGACACATCTGCCTTCAGAGTGGGATGGGGCCCTGTGTGAGAAACCAGGAAATATTTTCATCTTGTTCAGAAACCCTTGTATATGTTTTGGTGTCAATAAATATCTTTGACCTCATTATTTTACTTTGTAATTTTACCATTCAGCGTGGGAGCTTAGTAAAACACACATTTCACACACACATACAGTTTCCCCTTAGGAAGGGTAAAACTAAAGGAGGACTATTAAATTCATTCAGGATTATGGCACTTACCAGGACAGAGATGTGACAGGAAAGGAAAGAAGTTCACCTAGATACCAATTTTATTTTATTTTATTTTTACATGTATACATTTGGAAAGGAGAGGAGATTTTATTTTATTTTGAGTAAGAGTCTCACTCTGTCACCCAGGCTGGAGAACAGAGGTGTGGGTATAGCTACCACAGCCTCAACGGACTGGGCTCAGGCGATCCTTCCATCTCAGCCTTCCACGTAGTTCCAAGTGGCTGGGACTACAGGCACATGCCACCATGCCTGGCTTATTCTTATTCTTAGTTTTAGTTTATTGTGGAGACGAGGTCTCACCATGTTGCCTAGGCTGTTCTCGAACTCCTGGGTTCAGGGAACCCTCTAGCCTCTGCCTCCCACAGTGCTGTGATTTTAGGTGTGAGTGACACCGCCCAGCCCAGATCCCAATGTAAAAATTTTGGTCCTACCTTAAGTTGTTTACCTACATTATGTTTTCAATTGGGCAAGTCAAACTTTCATTTTTTAAGAATGTCTTTTTGGGGGACGCTTTTTCTGACTTTTACTGCTTCTGGCTATTTTTGTCACAATTATATGAAAAAGTTCAGTGACTAATCTAACAGAATGGATATAAATTATTAAAATTCTAGTCAATCACTTCACCACCTAGCTGAACTACTAAATTATAAGATGCATCTCTCATTCCTAAAGACATTTAGAAAGAAAAAACCTATCTTTCTTCTTTCTCCAATAAAGTCTATTTTAGAATCCTATATCTTTTGAATGGAAAGCATGTAAATATTTTAGTCTAAATCCTTGTTCCAGTGACTATAAATATCTTTCCTTTTTTATGACAGTGGGTAGAAAAATAGAGAAAATATATTAAAATTCAAAATCCTTGTGGAATTTTTTAAAAATGAGTGTTTTCAGTCAATTGTCAAACCTTGCAAGATGAGTCACCATGCCGTTCCTTTGGGGAAGCCTGAGTATTTTTTGAGATACCTATATTCTGTATTACCTTGGTAATTCTCTTATTCTTTTCAGCTGAATGTAACAAAAACTCAAAATTGAATATAACTAAAATTCAAAGCTTTCTTGATAAGTTCTTCATTTTTACTCTGTCCTTACCGTGTAATGAGTTCAGATCCCACAATGATCTGAATGGGTGTGTCCCCCCAACTTCATATGTTGAAAACCAGTGCATTGATCTTAGGAGGTGGAGCCTTTTGAAGGCAGAGCCCTCAGGAATGAGACTAGCGCCCTTGTAAGGTAGGCCCTGGAGCATTCCTTTGCCCCTTCACCATGTGGAGGGTGCGGCAAGAAGACATCTCTGATCCAGAAAGCTGGCCCTCACCAGGCACTGAGTCTGCTGGTGTCTTGCTATTGGACTTCCCAGCCTCCAGAACTGTGAGAAACAGGGTTCTGTTGTGTATAAGCCACTCATTTATGGCATTTTGTTGTAGTCGTCCAAACAGACTAAAATCTCTAGAGAGTCACCTTGTGACTCCAGTACAAATTTATTAATCTTAAGACTGCCCTATCTTTCAGACTCATGAGAGAATTTTTCCTAAGGATCTACTTTTCCTACCAAGTTAGGAGCTTAAAGGAAACATCCATTCCTTTAGAGATTTGTCCTAGAAAGAAGACAATGTTTTTGCTGTGTCCTTCCAGGTTGCATGAATGTATTCATCATGACATCTAGAGTCCAAGCTACTCTGCACGTTGTCAGGACTGTGTTCCTGGAATCGTGCAACACTTTCTAACCCACTCACAGTTGAAGCCCTGCTCATTCAGAAAAGGGTAACAACACTTGCTGCAGAGGAAGTGTGTGTGTGTGAGAGAGAGAGAGAGAGAGTGTGTGTGTTATGTAAGGATGTCAGCATAATTAAATCAGAGAATGATGGCTAATGAAGTAAAAAGGAGCATATATTCCCTCTGTGACTTAGAACCACCTTTTAAACAAACTCAGAACCAACCTGAGGTTATTAATGTTCAAGCCTTCGGTCCTCATTGAGAGACAGCAGAGTGTAGCAGTTGAGAACATGGATTCTGAAGCCAGATCTGCTCCTTACTGGCTGTATGTCCTTGGCATGTTACTTTACCTCTCTCTGTTTCAGTTTCTTCATCTTTAAAACATGGATGATTTATCTTATGGAAATTTGTGAGAACTAAATTATTAATATATGCAATGTGCTTAGAACAGAGCCTGGGATATAATAATTAGCTATTGCTATCATGTCATTAAAAAAACTTTTAAGCCGGGCTCAGTGGCTCAGCCTGTCATCCCGCGCTTTGGGAGGCTGAGGTGAGTGGATTGCCTGAGCCTGCAGGTTCAAGACCCGCCTGGGCAACTTGGCGAGCCCTCATCTCTACAATAAATCAAAAATTAGCCGGGCGTGGTAGTGCGTACCTGTAGTTCCAGCTACTTGGAAGGCTGAGGCGGAAGGATCACCGGAGCCCAGCAAGTCGAGGCTGCGGTGGCCGGGAGTGGCCACTGCGCTCCAGTCTGAGTGACAGAGTGAGACTCCAACTCAAAAAAAAAACACAAAATTTTTAATAATTACTCAGCCTGGCCCCAGTCTTTAGGCCGGTTGCCCCTGCATAGCCAAAAACAGTAAATAGACAATTTAAATATCTGAATATTGCTGGGCATAAGACTGGGGTATAGTTCCATAAGTTTAGCTTTCAATTTATTTGCATCTCTAAAGCTCTTAACTCATGTATTCAGTAACATTTATTGATTGTCTTCTTAAAGACCAAGCAATTCATTGGGAACAGAAGAAGGATGCACAAACCCTCAAGCTGTTAGAGAAGAATAACGTGTGAACAGATAACCCTAGAGTAGAGAGGCATGATGACATGGAGAAGTACAGTTCATAGGAAGAGCACATTGAGAGCCAATAATAAATGGAATGGAGGGCATTGTCCTAAAGCAGAAGATGCTTGAAGGACAGAGGGTGGTAAAAAGCCATTCCCAGCAAGGAGGATGCTATGATTGGAATGTGTCCTCCGAATGTCTTATGCTGGAAACTTAATCACCAAACGTATATGTTGGTTGGAGGTGGGCCTTTGGGAGGTAATTAGGATGAGATGAGGTCACCAGGGTGAGTACCCATGATGGGACTGGTGGCTTTCTAAGAAGAGGAAGAAAGACCTGAGCCAACATGCGTGTTCTTGCCCTCTCACCATGTGATGCCTTCTGCCATGTTATACAGCAAGAAGACCCTCACCAGATGCTGACACCATACTCCTGGACATAACAACCTCCAGAACTGCAAGAAATATAATTTTTTCGGGATAAATTACTCAGTCTCAGGTATTCAGTTATAGCAACAGAAAACAGACTAAGACAGCAACCTGGGCAAAAGTCCGGAGGTGTGAAACAAAAGACAGAGAGGCATAGTGGCACACATTTGGAAGTACCCAGAACAAGGTCCTCCCCTCTAAATTAAAGCATTCAGTTGAAACATCCCTCTAACTCTGCCTCTTTCAAGCACTCTTGTACAAGTGGTGGGGAAGCATGAAAGTGTACCTCCGGCCCCTTTGGTAACTAATCAGATTTCTTAGATAGCCGGGATATGGAAGAATATTTGGTTCCCATATTAGGACGCTATACTCTCAAAGTGTAACCTGATTGCCCCCCCATCTCCTCACCTTTTCGCATCCACCTCTGTCACAAAGCAATGCGTGTTCTGGTAAAATGATCAGCTGGATATCTGTCCACTCAATCCCAAGCCATAAGAAACCAAGAGCAAAGGGGGCCCTTGGGATGGCTTGAAGATGCTTACTGGAATGGGTGAAGGCCTCCGGACACTGCTGTGGGATGGACCGGTGACCGGCACGATAGCCTCCAGGGCAAGAGTGTAAGTAGAGAAGAAAAAAGACAAAGACAGGCTCCTGTTGCTCTTCTGCTTTATTATCAACCCTGACGCTGCCCCCAGCTCCCCATTTTAAACTGCCCCTTAGGGCCATGGGAGAATGGAGGAGGAAAAGAGGAGGGGGAGATATGGAAGGAAGATTTCAGGACGATCCCCGGTTGACATGCAGTTTACCCTGTTCTTTCCTTCCTACTTCTCATGCCCAGATGTCCTACTGCCGGTGTGAGATAGGCAGTCAAAAGATACGGCCGAGCCACACAGACTTGGGCCCTGCTGACTGAATCTCCCCTAGGACTGCAGGGTGATGTAGCAGCAGGGTACCACTCAACGCCGTGTGACGGTGTGCTCCCGAGCAGCCATGCTTACCGAATCCAGTGTGAGCGGAGCCTCCCAGAGATGTACAATCCCGCAATCTTGCTTCTGAGCTAAGTGTGCTTATCTACAAAACAGGGATAACAATAAGAGCCATGACTTGCAGGACTGTTGTGAGAATGACAAAAATTAACCCAGTACAGTAAATGCACACAGTCAGCAGTCTGAAACTGACAGCACTGTTATAGCCTGTGGGTAGAAAGGAGTAGAAAAAAGACCGGCATCGGCATGTGCAGGGATCAAAATAACCAAGACATCGGTTTTGCTCAGCCCATTTTCCTGTGTCCAGAGAAACACCCAAGATCAAAGCCCGTGGAGATGCTGTGTTCAGAGCAAGAGCTTCATAATACTTATTGAATGAAAAGATGAGTGGATGAACACGAGTCTGTAAATCTGATATTAAAATGTCAACAAAACAAGAACTAGAACCCTGATTCATCACATTTCTTTGCCTCTGGCTGGTGAGTTCAATGCAGCTACTTTAAGTTGGTGATTGCACATCGTCTTGGGTGAAGTAACTCGAAGGGAGACCGCGGTCCAGTAGCTCTGTAGAAGCTTCATGGCTGAGAAACTATAACATGCTATTAACTGAACCCTAGTTGTTGCCTACCAACAAAACTCTTTGAAAAGCAAAAAGCCAGAAG